GTCTATTTGAATCCTCCGGATATGCCGATATTGTTCCCAAAAGTAAACAAAAAATGCCGAAAACCTAAAACAAACATTCAAATAAATTCAATTTGCAATTTTTTTAGTAATGTCACCTTCATGTTTAATTTTTAATTAGTTTTCAAAAAATTCACCCACGCGAGAAAAATACGCGACTATAAAAGGTACAAACGCTAGTGTAAACACTCTTGTTATCAGTGTAATTTATTGTGTTTGATTGTTTTACTTGCGAGTGGAAAGTACGTAGGTATACGTAAATTGCTTAGTTGGCTTACATATTCATGACTTTCGCCGTTGGTCCGTGTTTTATTATTTCTAATGTAAACAAATACTGACGTAATTAAGTTTGATTTATTGAGGTTTGCAAAGAAATATAAAAATTAAAAACAATGGAATCATAAAATAAATACTTGATTTTTGTTCATCCATCATCATCATTTTATAAGATTTCAAATTTTGTTCCAAAAAACACCCAATATTTTGTGTACCAATAAAATATTTTTTTATACCTTAGTTTAAGAGACCATTTACAAAATGTTGCTATTTCTGCACTTTACGCCACCTTAAAATGCTTTTAAAACCTTAACATTTTTGCAAAAATTAATGCAAATGGACTAAAAAACGTACTGTATTTTGTCAACTATTTTACATTATTTGAATAATCATATTTCCAATTAAAAGTTGCTATACACCTTCTAAACCCTTTGAACGTACGCAAAAATGTTCTTCAAAAATTGACATTTTTCAAAATTAAATGAGGTACTCAAAAAAGTGAATTAATTCACAAGATACAGGGCTGTTTTAAAATTTTTGCAAAAATTACCATTTTTAAAGAGCATTTCAGGGCACCTTCGAGAGGTTTAGATTGTTGAAAGAGCATGTAACGTGTAGAACGTCTTTGAAATAAGAATATTTCGGTGAGATACTCAAAATACTCAAATATAGAATATGGCTGAAATGATACACATATGGTAAAGTGGTTCATGTGCCATAAAAGTGAAAAACTCAAAATGTTCACATGTTATTTACATTACCGGATACTGAACGTTTTCTACATCAAATCTTAAAATTTAAAAAAAATATTTATTTTTAATGGATATTACAGCGCCTTTTAAATTGTTTCGAGGGTTGAAAGTGTATGCGTAAAGTAAAGAACTTCCAAAGGGCAACAATGGCAGTAAGAAACTTGAAATAATTAATATAGAATAAGTATATGGTTATAGAAGATGGAAGGGATAACTAAGGATATTTACAATATAACGATGAGAACTGGAAAAGTAATAAAATAAGTAAATTTGAGTTCTGTGTTTATTTATAATTTTGAATTATACTTACTAGTACGTATCTAACGGTTATAATCAATGTTTAGCCACACAAAATCTACACTAGTATAACAACTAGAAATAAATATTTATAGTTTACTATGCTGAATAATTACCGTTAATAATTAAAATTAGTATTACATGGTACAAGTACATAAAATTGTCACTTAAACGTTGATTTAAGAGGTAATTGATTAATTATCTAACTGAATACTTATGTACAAACCGTCAGGATAAATGAGTACATGTGTTGAGCTGTGCACGAGAGATCAAACAATGTTGGTCGCAATAAACCGCTATATGGAAGCATATGGCAGTATTCTGAGTATTATCGCTTAAGTTTTGACTGTACCGCAGCTGCCGAGGCTGAAACTTGTATTTAAGAATCCTCGTCACTGTCATAACGTTCCACGGCTTCGTAGACAATGGAGAATCCTTTGAGGCAGTACGTATCGTCACTTTTGAATCGGATGAGGAGTGTCTCCTGCACTGATATAATATCAGCTGGTTTCTAAAATAAAGATTATTACAGAATATGACCGATTGTAGTTTGCTCTATGTAATACTTACATTATTTCCACAAAATCTCCCCGATGACATACCACTAGCATCTGGTCCATTAAACACTTCTAAATAATCATACCCACAATGTTCTTCATACTCCAAATCAAATTCGAGAAAATTAATATAAACATTATGGTTGGGAGGTGCCTCGATGGTCCAGTCACAGTCTGAGTATTCATCATAAGTAGCGCTTCCATATCTTGAGTGTGAGTAGACGTGATTCCTAGTAGTAGTGGCGCTCAAATGACCCCCACATACTGTTGAGTGTGTTGCAAGAAATCCGCCACGTTGAACACTCTGATCAGATTTAAACACCATATACATCTGGTTGCCTGTGGCAACAATAGGATGTGGTAGCTTTGATCCGCAGAATCTTCCTAAAGTATTTGCTTCAGGAGAATCCCCGTCGTAGAAAACAATGTGATCGTAGGAGCACTCCTGATGGGGTTCCATTTCAAACCTGAAGAACTGAATTTTAATACGGTGCCCGGGGGTAGTACTAAATTTCCAAACACAGTCTTTTCGAGAAGGATAAAAATCTGGATAGTTGGGAGAAGTTATATTTCCGTAATGATTGGTAACTTCATATTTGCATCCGCCTTCCTTGCAGTCTTTTTTATTTTCATGAAGAACAAACCCGTTGTGACAGCCGCATTGATAGGAGCCCAAAGTGTTGATGCAATCGTGTTGGCATCCGCCATTGTTAATTGCACATTCATCCATGTCAGCTGAGAAAACAGCAGCAAACCCTCTTTTTTGAACACTTGAATCACTATTAAAAGTTATTCGTAATGTATTACTCTCGGAAGTAATAAGTGGTGGTTTAGTAGGACCACAAAATGGTCCATGGTTTCTATTTTTGCTAAGAACATCCACTCGATCATAATCACATTGTTGTTGTTGCAATTCATTTCCTTCGAGATCAAAAGATGTGAAATTCAAAGTAATACGGTATTGGGGAGGTGCCACTATTTCCCAGGTGCATGATTTATTTGCTGGATATAGATCGGGAAATGAAGGAGAAGTGATAGTTCCGTTAACAATTTGGTAAACCCCTCCACAAGCATCTGTAATAACAAAATACATTAAATCTAGATTTATATCATGCCAATATAACAAACCTTCGCAGTTTTTCCCATCGGAATGTAACTCATATCCAATTCTGCATGCACACACATAAGACCCTAAAGTGTTTACACATTCTTGTGCGCACCCATGCTCAGTACCACTACATTCATCATATTCCTTGATAAACGTTGCTGAGAATCCAGCCTTTTGTACAGATCCGTCCGAAACAAACTTTACCAAAAGATGGTTGCTGGTAGACCTTATATCAGGTGGTATCTTGTTCCCACAAAACACACCGATAACAGGACTGTCCATTGTTAATCCATCACGCACTTCTACGTAGTCATAAACACAATTATCATGGTTTTCAATTTCAAAACTTTGAAATTTCATAGCAACTTGATAATTTTCAGGAACTGTCAACTTCCAGACGCATTCTTTGTTAGGTTGATAGTCTTCGGGGTAATTAGGAGATTCTAGGTGACCACCTGATTCCAAATCAAGTTCACCTCTACAAACAGCTAAAACGGAACAAGTTTTAATTGATTTTAAGTCAAGATTTGAAATTATTACCCTCGTAATGTGCAGCAAATCCACGTTGACTGGTGGGTTCCTTAGTTACATACGTGACCAACATTCTACTACCTGTAGAAATAATAGGCTCGTTTATTTTACCACTACCGCAGTATTTTCCGAGGATTGGCGATTTATGCCAATATCCATCACGTATTTCAATATAGTCCTCTGAGCAGTTAGCAGATTTTGGAATGTCAAGATCAGTAATATTCAGAACAATTCTTTCCCCGTGGGTGGCAGTAATTCGCCATTCACATTTCTCTTCGTGAAAACTAAGCATATTGTTAAAATTTGGAGAATTGAAGTGTGCGGCGTTTGCTTGGAATGTTTGACCGCACTCTACAAATTGTTTTATTATTATCATGTATTTTATAACAAATAAATACGTACTTGGACATTTATAGAGCAAATTAGTCTGATCGATATCGCCTTGTGAGAGCCGCAGGCGTTGACCGATTTCGGGCCGCTTCCGGCCTGGCACATCAATCGGCTGGATGGTGTCCAAATAAGTCCCCTTCGAGAACGTGTTCCGTGCGTAGTGCATAATCGAATCGTAATCGTATGTCAGCCCCAACGAGTTGACCTCATCCGAACTCAGTTTGTTGAAGTTGTAATCCTGGCCTGCAACGTGCCAAAGGTACATTATATGACATCAAACCGGACGTGTCTAAGTCAAAACCGCTCCGGATTAAGAATAAAAGTTGATTCTTACCATTCATTATGTGTGTGCGAATGATATTCACGTGCATGTCCCGGTCAGGTCGCGTGTGCTCGTGCCAGAAACCCACCACGTGCCCAAGCTCGTGAACGACAATACCGAATTTGTCACAGTTCTTCCCAATGCTGATGGCTTGTGGACCATTGCCTCGCTTACCTACAAACGAGCAACATCCGCACGGGCGTTCAGTAAACATAATAAAGTTGGGATGGTCATCAGGTGACCTCTCAACAAACTTCACGCAGGTGGAGTTTTCCCAGTGACGCATAGCCTGCTTAAAAAGGGCCTTGTGTGCACCACTAAAGTTAGCATCAATTTCATACGGGATCACACCGTAATCCCACACACGTTCTTTACGCGCAGTTGCAGCCCTTGTGGTACGTCTATGAGGTGCGTATTTTTTTGGTTTTAAGTCAAACATTGGTTCAAATTCATGAACGGGTCTAGGATCTTCACTTAACATAGGATCATCGGAAGTTTCAGAACTAGAAGAGGTTTGTGAACCACGTCGACGTTTCTTGTGCTTTCGACGACGCCTTCTCGAAATACCTCCATCATGGGAAGGAAATTCAGTTAGGGCTTTGGTGTTTTACCATCTTTGGCATTCTCAGTAGCATATTGAAACACTATTCGGCCATTACTGTTTTGATTAAGTTCTTGGGGAGTAGGTTTTTTAAGAATGTCTTTTTTGGTTTTTGTATCAGTATTGGAATTGACCAGTAAAGATGGGTCATTGTAACTTGGTAATATTGTGGGTATATTCTGTTGCTGCTGCTGCTGGTGGGCAATTTTGGTTTTGCGACGCACCAGGTCAGAAAGACCTTCCTCTTCAATTTGCAATCCATCAAGAACGTCTTGTTTGAAGGAATTAACTTGTTTTTGATAGTCTTGGGGTTTAGAAGTTGGTGTATCGGGAATTGCAATATCTCCCAAGAAACCACCTACAAATACAAGGATTTTTGTTAATAAATATCATCCATCAAAAAGTATAAATTATACTAAATGCAGAACTGTAAGATTCGAAGTGTTTGAAGAATCACTCGATACTCATCCGATTCCCCGCCGCTGCCGTTTGAAGTGGGCACTTTGTTAAGCCCCCTTTACTCTACACTCCCCATCAAATTGCAAGAGTAGAGCAACCGTTTCTCGCGCCGTCATCATCATTAGATTTTAATCAATAGACTCCTTTTGTTATTTCGCAACACAACGCTAATGAGGCCAAAAGCCCGCGAGAAAAATCATAGACCCCGTGCATCGTTGCTGTGCGCAATTCGTGACAACACAAAATTTCGATAATTTTGTAAAACATGACCGTCCTTGATCTGTGCACAGCCACCAGAGCCACCGCTAGTTAGGCCGCTGATAGTCGCTGCTGATAAGCGCGTTGAAACATTGAATCCGCGGCCATCCCTCGAGCGCGTCCCGGCTATCAGTGTTGTTATTGAATGCTGTTATCTCGGCGAGCGCGCAGACTTTATACAAGCTGCGCATACGCGCGGACGCATGCCCGATAAGTTTCGATAGGCGATAGCAAGCGTCAACTTGTCTACTAGAAGCGTCGCTGGTGCAATTTCTGTAGTTATCTGCCGGACGCTTTGTCCCATGGCGTGCGCTTCAACGTTTCATGAATGATCGGACCCAATTAATTCTCACTCGCCCGCCGCACGCAACTATTGCCGACGCCGCCGCGCTGTCGAGATGATGATAATGATGACGACGATGCGTGACATCTGGGCGCGCATTGTCTATCGCTTTGGCTTAATTTGATCCAGCTGCTACTAGATTTGTTTACTACAGCGCGCGCCTTCATACCAAATGACGTTCGAGTCAATAATTCTACGAAATCATTAACTCGCTGTAATTAAGAGATTGGCTAATTTATGTTATATACCACTATCGCGGTTATTAAATTCGCTTTCAGTTGCGTTTTTGTTTCGCAACAAGAATTGCTTGTATACAATATTCATAACTGCGACCTCGGCCCCGCTGTTTTTAGTAAAATATAATTCATTTTTATTTTCTCGTTCAAGACCTAGTCTGTATCGATTTTATCAATAATATTCGCAATTTTATTGAGAAATGAGAAATGCTAATAATACACTTTAACGCCATCTCGTATTCAGTTATTTAACTATAATTATTATTGAATATTTATACCAATTTAGATCGTTTATTTAACACCCTTTAAGAACAAAATTTTGTCAAATAGACATTATGCTATTTAGAGCAAAGACAAATCCAATAAATTATTGATAATCAAAATCGGTCGAGTCGTTCTTGAGTTATAAATGTTGTAACTAATTTGACATTGTTTTTTTTTTACATATAGATTTATTAATATTGGTAAAATACTAGTGCTTTTTTTTGTTCATCCTATAAAAATCATTTGATTACATTTCTATCAATTTGCCGCACAGCGTAGACTTGTTCAAGAAGCCAATAGGCAATGAATCAATCAATCACCGAAAGCAAAGTTAAGCTCCTCGACGTTTTATAGACATTAATCTGTCGCGCCCCGCCCCAGGGTGCTTGTCTTGTCAACCGGCCGCCGCCACTTTCTCACGGGGCGCTCGCAAATTCGTTTAAAATTAGATCCGATTTCGACGAAATGGAAACGTCAGACCACGTCAAGTGTGATCGACAAATTGAAAATTCCTCACTTGCGCACGAAAATTCGCCTTCAATTATACTCCGCTCTTTGCAATAACTCGTGCAATAAAAAAAATCTCATCAGACTTTACGAAATAAAACTTCTTGTAGTCTCGTAAGGCCACTCAAACGACGTCTTATTTATCTCGTTTCAGCGACCGAAATCGTATACTTATAAACAAGATTAATTCGTAAACTTTAAACGAATCGCTTTGTGCGACGATTCGATTCTCAGGCATTGTTCACCATCGTCTTCGGGAGCGTTACTGTAGTAACAAACTCGCTGGCACACTCGATAAGTCATCCGAGCATGGGCGCCTCGCGTCTTTGTGCGCCAACTCGGTGTGTTTAATTAAAGTCCTCTTTGTATCACCGCGCTCGTAGACGGAATATGCCACGATTTATCTAGCCGCTGCACCGGCTCCCGAGTGGGAGCCACGGAAACATTTTCGACTATTCACGCAAACTGCGGATGTTCAAACTTACAATGCAGGGACGGAATACAAACATTTGATAAATATCATTATAACTTGTTACTTTCAAGAAAGTTACAAATTTTATTGGGTCGCCTAAATTTATTCGAATATTACACATTTTATCGTAACATAAACAAGTGTGATAAACATGTTTTCCATTCAATATTCGGCAGATTAATAAATTATCAACTAAATATAAACATAGAGAGTAAAACCTAAATTTCTTTATATATTTTTATTTATATTTACCTGCTTTGCACGGATCCAGATCTAAATCATTACTGCTCTTCGGCGGAAAATTCATATGCAGCAGTTCATCAGCGGAAAACTTAAATTTCGGGATATCCTCCTCGTCGAAGCAGGCAACGCCTACAACCAGCAGCATGCTGGAGAGTAGCACGCGCCACCGCAGCGCGTTGAACATTTTTTGCGTTTTTGTGCACGTGGATGCGATCGCACATTACACGCGCATTTTCGATTCGCGCGCAGGACAAAGCATCACTAGTATTAGCGTGTTAGACGAGACTTATTGATGTATTGTTATTGTTATTGTCGATGTTTGTGTTAAGTTATAGTCACGCACATTGCACTACATCTCGTACCATTAAATAAAATTAAAATAGTTTCAAAAAGATCACTTGTAGTTAAACTTCTTAAACTGTATTTATTTTAATTTTGATTGATTATCATAGATTTGATTACATGTTTTATGATTTTTATTTTCGACTTTCGAACTTAATTGAAGCACTTTTGGATAATACGCGGACGTAAAGCTTTCGCCCTGCAGGCGCTCGTGGTGCTTTTGGCTTCGGCTCGTCATGGAGACACACTGAACGAGCGCTCGCAGGCGGCAAGCGATCCACTGGCTGCGCTGGATGTGCGCGTATCAGCGGGACAGCAGGATGCTGCAGCGGGCGCTTATCGTGTCCACTCTGTGCCACGATTTGAATATGCATGGATGTGCGGAGAACACACGCGACAGCCGGCGATGAGCGAGCTCGCGCATTCCGCCCGAAATGCTCGTTACGATTTTGTTTCGTCTATTTCGTACGCTGCGCGCCGTAGCGAGTGTAATGTTCGTAATGTTCATTGCGAGGGATCACCACCAGCAGCCCCCTGCACGATGGAAGGGGCATGTGAGGGCGAGAGGATATGAATTGGCTTGTTCGGTCAGTGTGGTCAAAAGCGGAAACGAATTTAAACGAACATTCAAACGATTCCATTTGCTGATGTAATTATCTTTTTCTGATACATAAAATATATCAAACTCTGGTTTATTCTCTGAAAGTGTTTAATTGGCATCTGATGGAATTGCAATTTAACATATTTTGTTGCATCTTAAATCAGAAAACTTTTTAAAAGTAGATTAAAATTTAAATTAAAATCTATATAGTTATAGTTAATGTAGAGTAAAGAAAAAATATAAATGTTTGTTTTGCAAATAATATATAATATGATTTTAATTGAAACACAAATATTTACAAAGTGATATTTCAGGTATTAAAATACAATATTTAACTTAGGATTCAATGTCACTTGTTTCACTATAATACCATTCAAGTGTTTGACATCTGATAAGATAAATAATCTATTAAATAACAATTTATTTATTATCCCAGACAATATTTCTTCACTGTTAGTATAGAATGTATAGATTATCTCGCGTTAATCATGATTTATTAGCAAAATTTGAGACTAATCTCAGTGTCGGTTGCATAAAAGGTTTAAAAATACAAAAAATAAAATCAGATATTTCATAGAAATTGAGACTAATGCGCAATTATTTTCTTTTTTTCACTAACATCTGGAAAAGTAGCGTTCGCATAAATCCATGTCAATTTTGTATTAAGCTTGCGCACCTATATGAAAAAGCTTGGCAAATTTTAGTCGGAAATGTCGGCTGTTTGCTTCGTGGCAATTCATTTGCGACCATTATAAGCCGGATGGCCGAAAAGCCAGCCGGGGGCGAAAACAACTGCGAGAACGGATTTATTCGCGGTGGTGCAGGTACGTCGTGTTTGGTTGCCGGGTGATAATTACAGCATGGTCGTTAAAGCGTAATAACGCTCATGGTCGATGCTGAATGCTAGATGAGAGGCTGCAGACAAACATGGCGAAACATGAAATACATTTGCAAATAGCGGCGTGAAAACAAGCGATAGTACGCTAAAGGGGTGGCGGGCAAGTGTGAGAGGGCTTAACCACGTGCTAGTCGCCACCGAAATTACGTTTTATGATTGCCAATTGGTTAAAATTAACTGGAATGCATAATAAACTTTTCAAGTGGGGAATATCAAATGTAATTATCTTGTTTTCATCATAATTGTTAAAATAATATGTCGTTGTTTTATTTTTAAATTAATCAATCATTTAAAGTCTTCTTTTTCGACGAATAATACACATACATATATAATTGTTCCGTGAAATGTTAAAAATTGAGAATTTCAAGTGTAATTATCTTGTTTTAATCATAATTGCTAAAATAATATATTGTTGTTTTATTTTTTAATTAATCAATCACTTATAGTCTTTTTTTCGACGAATAATACACATATAGAATTGTTCCGTGAAAAGTTAAAAATGGCCTTCATTTATTTGATTAAATGGCCATAAAATCTAACTTTGTTACACTATGATTCATTTAGTTAGTTCCGTCATTTATGGTCCTTATTAAACGAAAATGAGTAATTGTGTACTTATATCGCAACTTATGTTTTATTTGTTTTACGGCGCCACGTGTCATTTCTTCTAATTCCTCATTTTTTTCAGTTTAAAGTCTACTAAACATTTAGAATTTCCAAATATCCTGTAAATTCACTCGTATTGTCTTTAACTTTGTACCTCTACTATTTGTGAGTATGATGAATTGTAAAATGGAATCAATAAAGATGATATCATTTTGCTAAAACAATAAAACGAACTGAAAACAACTCCTTATCAATTTACCTGAGTGGGTATGATAAGAGTTGCATATATAAACCCGGCGAGAGCGCAAATTCTATGCCAATTGTAGAATTGTGTATTTGCATATTTTTTACTGTTGCACGTAATTACTATAAACAATCATGTCTTTTAACAACGAGTGCCTGCAAGCTCACAATGAGTACCGAGCTAAACATGGTGTGCCGCCCTTGAAGTACAATGCCCAATTATCAGTGGACGCTACCCGTTTTGCCCAGCAGTTACTCCGGGAAGGAGCACTTCGCAGCAGCAACGTCAGTGATCTTGGCGAAAATATATACTCTGTGCGGTCCACGGATCCGAATTATACGATCAGTGGAGAAGCAGCGGTAAATCACTGGTACAACAAAGAGTCAGAACATGACTACTCTTGTGAACCACCGGAGAACAACCCAACTGGTAACTTCACTCAAGTTGTCTGGAAAGACAGTCGGGAGTTGGCTATTGGTTTGGCACAAGAGGGTGGAAGAGTCATCGTTGTTACCAGGTACTCGCCACCAGGAAATGTAAGGGGGCAATTCTGTGCAAATGTTCTACCACCGATGTCAAGTGGTATTCGAAGACAGGTCTGTCCTCAAGGACCACCCCAACCAACTTGCGTAAGACCTTCTGCCGCGTCAACTCCTAGATCTAACGGCGCATCTTCCTCTGGAAACTTTAACCGTGACTGTTTGAACCAACATAATATGTACAGGGCTAAGCATGGAGTACCTGCTTTACAACTAGATGATCAACTTTGCAGGTACAGTCAAGAGTGGGCTGAGGAGTTAGCAAGGCGTGGTGTGATGCAACACCGGAGTCAGAATACCTACGGAGAAAACATCTTTTCTGCTTGGTCATCTGATCCTAACTATACGGTAGAAGGTGGTAAGGCTGTTGATTCATGGTACGATGAAATTCAGTTCTATACTTTTGGTCAAGAACCCAGGGATTTAAAAGCTGGTCACTTTACCCAAGTGGTTTGGAGGCTTAGTGAAAAGTTAGGAGTTGGCATTGCCAAAAAGAATGGTCATATTTATGTCGTGTGTAATTATTCTCCACCTGGTAATTACGTTGGGAACTACACTCCGAACGTGCCTGCACCATTGTAATTGTTAATATAACATTTTATTTGCATTTATTGTATTATCTTTTATAACGAATATACGTAGTATGTATTAATTATAAATGTTAAAAATTTTCAATAATGTATTTAAAAAAATGGTATACTTCTGTCAAAATGATAATAATAATTATATTTGAATATTAATAAATTCAAATATCAACTACGTTCAATAAAGTTTAATACAAGAATTTAATGCAAATAAGTGCATCTTACCGCCATCTCGATTAAAAATTGCACAACTATGGTTAGAGAATTAATCATTATTCATACTTTTATTTTACATTTTTTAAATGGTTGTTTGTTACTAATATTAAAGTTGTCCAAAAAAAAGTATCTCAAAATTATAATAAAAATTATATCGTTGTTAAGTTTAAATAAAAAAGCAATAACTTAGACAACCAATCTTACTTCAAAGTGTCAAAGTGGAAAACGGTTTCAAACTGTTGTGTTTTTGTGATTAACATTCCCAGTTGTTCCTCAAAGACTCTGTCTTATTTTTAATTGCAGCAACATAGTGACAGAGGAAAGATGGAATTAACACAAGATTTAATTGCTATTCAAAATATAATTGGTGAATGTGAGCGTCAAGTCGGAACATTGGCAGAAATTAAACACAAAGGAGGTGTGTATTTTATAACCTATAATTGAATGTTTTCGTTATTTTCTTAAATACAATTCATTAATAAGTTATTATTTTAAGGAAACGAATCAAAAATTGAATTGGTTGTCAACAAGATCAAGCAGTTCTTACTTTCCAAAAGCTACATAACAGATCCACCCAATCTTCACATGAGAAATAATGCTTCACTTGAAAAAATCATCTTGTTTTTGATTTTAAACACAAAACTAAATGATGATACCCTTGCAAATATTAAGGAATACAGCCATCTTATAAACATCATGCCAAAATGTTCCAAGTTTCTGTTAATTAACATAGCAATTGAAACAGAGTTGATAGATATTTATGGTAAAGTTGCTATAAAATTGCCTTTGCAAATTGTGTCTGAACTCTTTGAAGCTGCTAATGATACTTTCATAAATGGGCATGGTGGAAAGACACTCAAAAATGTTAATATTATTGTCAGTACCCTAATTGAGAAAGTGAATTCAACTGATATTCAAGATAATCATGTATGCTACTGCATTATTCATGTTATTAAACAATTCTTATTAACTTTTCATTTCTAGGTGTTTGATAATATCAGAAATATTAATAATATAATTGTTAAACTATTGATGTACCTTAGTGTGCATCCTTCAATCAGTTTAACAAATGCGACAGACACTGAAAGAGATTTACACATAGGATACACACTTCATAAATTATTTAAGATGTTGCTGCTTGTGAATGAAGTGCACATGGGATGTGGAAAAATTGTAGATGCCTTGGTTATGACAACTTCAATTGTGATGAAACAAGTTACAGTTAATGTCTTCTGTACTTGGGCAGAGGTAAGTCTTAAAATTTACAAAATATTTAAAGTGTTAACAATATATTTTAAAATGATACTTGGGCATAATTTTTAAAAATAATTGCAGATTGAAGAAGATGACTTGCCATTTCAGTATGCTATTGGCACAGAAGCTTACAGAGTAGTCGAGAAATATGCGAAAGTCAAACCTGCTGCCGAACTAATTTCGCTCCTAACTTGCATGGCGAAGAAACCGAAATCGTTATCAGAAATCATCTCAGGTGCATCTGTCACCTCAATAGTGAATCATATCAACGACGCCGATGAACATCAGCGTCGGTGGTTTGCTGCTCTTGTGCGTAAAAGCGATATCTTCGACATTCCCACAAGCCGCGAGTGTTTGCAGCGCTGGAGTGCGCTGTGTACTCTGGACGAGGTGCTCTCTATTTTAGAATTAGCCATGTCCAAGGACGAATCATGCAAACGCCTCGCTATCAAATGCGCTGCGCATTTGTCTGTGCCAAACTTATCGACTTTGATCGCGAGGTCGTTCTGGATCGATCAACCTTGGAAAACTTACATTGAACTGACCTCCGTTCAGCCCCAACTCACTCTTCTGCTGAATAAAATGCAAAATGGATGTAACGAGGAATTAATTCGAAATATTCAACTTTTACTGCTTGAAAATCCACAGGAAGTAATTGAGATTCTCTTTAGGGAGTGTATTAAAAACAGAAGTCTATGTTAAATGGCTAGAAGATGTTTTCAGGGCAATTAAAAATGTGATCAGTATGAATTTCATTCCATTAATGAAGTTGGAGCAGATTATTAAAACTTTGGATGAGTTGAAGGAGAATGAGCAGAGCAGTATCACACAATTAATGCATATGTTGATTAGGACAGAGTGTACTGAAGTGAATCATTTGTTTACATATGTTTTTAAGCCATTGATTTTGTCTGCTCAGGATAATAATGAAAATTTGGATGTTATTCTGCAAATACTAAAGGTTTGTAGTAAATTTTCGCTAAAAGTACGCCAAACTAAATCAAAAGAAATGATTTTAGTCACTTCCAGTTGAGTCCTTGAATGAGACACACAAAGAAGAGCTGGCAATTGAATTGATAAACAACTTGGAAAAACACCGTGTAAAGTATTCAGATTTTTGTGCACGGAAAATTGGCATTTGTACATCCAGTACTTCACTTTTAACTCAAATAAGTGGATCATTTGAAGGTGATTTGTTTAAAACGAATGGAAAGTGTTTAAATAAAACTGTTGTAATAATTTGTTTCAGATATGAATGAGGTTCACAAATCTGAACTTAACAAACTGAACAGTTACTACCTCACATTGACTGGGGCAAATTCATATCAAAGTCTTCTTAATTATGTATTTCCAAATTTTGTAATTGATTCGTATGGCCAGCAAATTAGCAAGCTACTTAAGGTAAGAACTTGATTTTTCTAAGTTTCATTTTGTGAAATTCTGATCGTGCCTAGATGTTGTCACGTTGTGTGACACAAGAATGGTTGCAAATTACAGAAGAGGTTGCGACGACCCTAGGAATGCAAAAAGCAGCTGAGTCCCTAACTGATGTTCTTATATTGATCTGCGAAGTTACCAACACGCAAGGTGCTGATAACAAACCTGTCTTCACCGCACTATCGTATTATTTATCGAATTATGGAATCTGTATACAGGTAAGACCTTTAATTAGATTAATCTGTTATCGTCTAATATCCGATCTTGTAGAAAATGCGCGAGAAAGATATCTCCCTACAATTCGAAGCGGAGACTGTAAAAAATATTTGCCGTTTGATTAAGATGCTTCCGCAGGATATAAAGTATCAAGAGGGTGTGAATTTGATTAATTTATTCTCCGAGAAAGCATTGCAGAGCTTATCCAAGGACAGGCAATTTGTCGCTGCTCTTGTTGCGCTCGGCAATGATAAGTTAAGTCAAATAATAGCCAACAAGATGTTGGAAATCAAAAAGCAGTGAAGCATTACCTTTTTATTTTTATATTTCTCATAAGAATATAAAAAATCAAAAACATTTTCTGTTGAATTGGTGCATTGTTGGCTTGTTTATAACCCTACAACAGCCCTAAGACTTTTTCCCGCATGCATCAACTCAAACGCCTCGTTGATCTTCTCCAACGGCATGTTATGCGTGATGAAATCGTCTAGTGGTAATTTCCCAGCCAAGAAGTCCTCGACAAGTTGCGGCACTCCATCGATACTCTTGTATCCGCCGAAAGCGGTTCCCTTCCACACTCTCCCAGTGACTAACTGGAAAGGCATGGTGGATATCTCATGACCAGCAGGAGCTACCCCAATGATAGTAGATACTCCCCAGCCCTTGTGGCAGGCCTCCAACGCAGCCCGCATTGTTTTCACATTGCCGACACACTCGAATGTGTAGTCTAAGCCACCGTCGGTCAATTCGACCAATACCTGTTGGATTGGTTTCTCATGGTCTGCGGGATTGACGAATTCCGTCACGCCGAACTTTTTGGCGACTTCGAATTTTGCGGGGTTCAGATCAACGCCGATGATTCGACTGGCACCAGCAGCTTTGCATCCCAAAGCCACTGCAAGACCGACCGCTCCAAGACCCCAAATCGCGCAAGTCGAACCTTTCTCAACTTTGGCTGTATTCAAAGCAGCACCATACCCAGTGGGCACACCACATCCCAGGAGGCACACCTTCTCAAAGGGGGCTTTATCATTGATCTTGCAAACGGAAATATCAGAAACCACTGTATATTGGGTGAAGGTGGAGCAGCCCATAAAGGAGTGAACTGGTTTGCCTTTGCATGTGAAACGAGTAGTACCATCAGGCATAACGCCTTTTCCTTGGGTAATGCGAATTTTCTGACACAGATTGGTTTTGGGAGATTTGCAGAACTTGCATTCTTTGCATTGGGGAACATATAGTGGGATTACCCTGTCACCTATTAAGTTATGATTCCTTATGTAAGAAATATATCAAATTGCTTTTCAGGGATCTACCTCTCATGTGCATGGATATATAACCTAGTACTAAACAGAATAATTACCTGGTTTAACGTTTGTTACACCTTCACCAATACTTTCAACAATACCAGCAGCTTCATGACCCAAAATAACTGGAAAGACGCCCTCAGAATCATGGCCCTCTTTAGTGTAAGCATCAGTATGACACACTGCAGTGTTGATGATCTTTATTCTGACTTCATGGGCCTTTGGTGGAGCAACTTCAACATCTTCAATTTTGAGTTCTTCCTTGGGGCCCCAGCATACAGCTGCTTTACATGAAATTGGCTGCAGAGATAATTTTCTATAGAGATAACAGAAATATGCATGGACATCAACTTACTTTCCCTTGTGTGTCAGACATTCTCTTTGATTAGCTACAACACAATCTTAGAGAAATTAAAGTCACGAATCTAGTGGGGACGTTCTAGATCTACGTAGGAATAAAAATGTAGTGGCAATATGTATTAAAAACGTTAGAGAGCAAAGTTCAAGTCGCCGGTCCATTAAATAATCTAACCTTGAATTCGTGTCAGATGGAAGAAGACAAATTATTCAAATAAGATATTTTGTTTATTTGGATTCATCTGCATGATTTAAAATTTGAATCTTTGACCATAAAATTGTCGTATGTTAACCATGTCAGACATTTTAATTTTTTAAGTACATATATAGCAAAACAGTAAGACAATTTCTAAATCACGCAGTTTTAATTCAGGTTTCCCTTATCAGTACAGTTTTTCTAGGTGCTTTACATGAATAAAACATTAACATTTTTGAAGAGAAAAACCTAGAATTTGAAAAGAATAAGGGATGAAAGTTTGTGTATGAATTAGTTGTTTAAAATGAACCAAGATGGCGCCATCATACACTTATTAGCCTTAAAATCTTAGAAATATCCTGAATCCGAATTTAATTTATTACTTTCTTTGGTGAATACGTAATCCATGTTATTTTTTATAAATATAAAAATATTTATTGATTAAAATTACAACGTGATTTTTTGGATTTACAGGTTTTTTTGTTGAGTTTAACATGTTTCGCCCAGAGGGCATCTTCATAAACTCTCGAATTTAATTTATATATATATGCAGCGTATTCAACACAATCACAAACTTATTACACCTCTAATCGCATTCATTAGTAAATTACAGCAGTGCAAAGCTTGGATAGATGTCCAATTACTTTATAAATCGTAAAACAAAGCCAAATTAGTCGTTATTCGTATGCATCATACATTATTATTTTATTTTACCATCTATTATTCTTATTATTGTACACCACTCTAGCACCCATGTTTCTGGTTCTTTTCATCATCTTCAATGTCCTCTTCTACCTTTTCATTCATTCCAGTACCGACTTCCCCATATTTTCTTTCCCAAAGCAATCGATGTTTCTGCTTCATATAACATTTAGTAACATTGTGATACCCACCAAGATCTCCATACTTTGTGAACCAATTTGTACTAGCCTCTTCGTATTCTTTTAAAAGATGGTCACATCTTTCCAAGTGCTGAGGTGTTTCATACATGACGCAGTTTTCAAAACGCTGCCTTAAAATTCTAATAATTTCCGAATCAACAAGGCGATCCCTCTTGTATTGATAATTAGCTTCCGAGAAACATACTAGATCATCTTCGTAGCATTCATCAATTGTAGGCACGCGTGGAAACTTCTGATGATACCATGCATATTCTTTCCGATCAGGTGTCACAAAAGTATCGTGAAGTATCTCCACCGGCTTGTTCAAGGTACAACTGACGACACAAAAAAATTTTTCGAAGTAGTTTTTCTTTCTTTCTTGAGGTTTTATTGGTGGTTCTGGTGTTTCATCAAATTCAGTCATTTTATTTGAATTATATTATTATTATATTTGTTTGATCGACGTTTGTATTTTATTTCGTGTTGCTATTGTTTCAAACGGTGTTGTAGTAGCAGCCATGAACCTAATAAAAGTTAAAAACCATTCCGACTTTTATCGTAAAGTGTGCTTAAAATACATATAATCCACATTAATGCTATAACTTTAACGTTGGACTTGCTGCTTCCCCACAATAAACACAAGTTTTCGTGCTTTTGATAGCGAATGTGACAATAATAAATTAGTAACGCGTATTGCATTGCGTAGTTCAACCCTCGAAGTGCCTTCTCGAAAGATTCGATGCGCTCTCGCAACTTTTGAGAGGGTCCTCGTTTTGTAACTGCAAGCAAACTACACAATATAAACTTCTGTATATACCACTTGGAAACTATTTGTGTATCGACAACCAAATAAATATCCAAATACTACGTGGCGGCATCACAATCTGTTTGGTGTCGCTCCTCCATTCAAACATTTCATTCATGCGAGTATCTGCTTTGTTCAATTTGTGTGACCCACTCGTGACCACCTTGAAGAGACGCCCATTCCTAAAAATTATTCAATATTAGAAAAAAATAGAAGCGGACTTCTTTTGGAGTCAGTTCGTAGTCTGGAGTTGGTAGTCTAGGGTGGTAGTCAGTTTTAGGCGTTTTAGACACTCATCGAATTGTGTAATCCATACTTCTCGCATGATTTGTATTCGAGTGCGGCGCGTGTAATTCGCTTAGATACTAATTTGACGATTCCACAACATTGCCTCACGAACGTAACAATACCGATTCACCGACAATGGGCCCTCGACTGTGCGGCGCCCTTGGTGGGCTTTGGTGTCTTGCGCATCATATTTTATTTTATTACCTTTTTACGCATTTCTCGTGCGTGCTTCGCGCACAATTTTCTGCTAATTATACGCGTGGATGACTCGAACGAGCATCGATACGTTGAGTGCCAGGTGCGCGTTTGGTTTCACGTTCTTTTCCCTTTTTTGCCCCAAAAGCACACAACGGTCAGTTTTAGCGGTTCCCTGTTTGCGCAGCGCACGAACCGAACAATGCCGCCATCGGTGAATGGATGCTCTTTTATTGGCTTGTTAAGCGATTTTACAGGGAGGATATACTCACTCGTTTTTGGAGGTGCAGTGAATTTTGGGCATATTAACGTGAACCATTTCGTACGTGCAACCAAAAGCGGGAGCTAATTTGCAAAGTGAAGAGAAGCAAATACTGTCTATTCAGCATCTGCAAATGAAAATGTAGGTACACAAAAAACATTCAGATCTAAGTAATTACTTAAAAATGTTTAGCAAATACATCAAAAGGGCCAAAACTATATCAATCAATATTTATCAATAATTATTATCAGAAATTCAATCCGCTCTGCACACCATGTAAACAAATATTGGGGTAGGTTATAATCCGCTTAGAAATAGGGTAATTTTCTCCGAAATTGCTCGCAAATCCAAATATATTCACGTAGATTTACGCTTGGATGTCATTTTTGATCAAAAATATGAAAAGCCTTCATTGCTGCAAGCGTTCGACATCACCGAAGTTGTGGGCATAATGCGCCGTTCATTGTTTGATTTTAATCCGATTTGAGTTTCCATCGCGTTGCATTGCGTCGGTTTTTACCTATTTCGGCATTTTCAGCCATGGTACTGAAAGGTTTTGTGTGTCAACACGCGCACGATGTCACATTAGATTAAGATTAATCGCTCAAATGGATATTGAATTAATAGGGTTCAATAATATTCCAGATTTTTGGAAAAATAAGCGCCCTTTTATGCTCTCATAATATGTGCGTAATTATCGGATTATTTTATTAAGCACTAGACAAAAGCAGGATTTATTAGAGTTATTTTATTTTGGTGTACTTAGAAATATATAATTTTAAATATTTCATTAAATTTTGCGAAAAATTACAAGTTTTAATTTATTCCCACGATTTATTGACGTATCAAAACGCAATAACTAACAATTTTCGATTAAACTCTTCAACACTTATCCATTCAAAAGACAATTTATACTTGACACGTGTTTGGAGTGTTGAAAATTCATGTGAAGCACTTAATTGCACCATTGCACATAAAACTGCACGCATTGGTTGCATCGGGCGTTAATAATAAAATAACGCGACGCGGTGGTGAACGCACAGTGACTTTTCGGAACGATGTGACGAATTGCAAGCACGAGGCGCAACATTACAGAGAATGATGAGCGTGCGCGGGCGGTGAACAGGAAATGAAGTCGCGTGCCGGCTTGTGGCGGTTTTCCAGTGCGCCGCACGCAGCTTACAATTAGGCGTTTATTAGGCGTTTGTTTAGCCACCCTCTGAAGATGAACCACATCAGGAAGTTACAAGCAAAAACTTGTATCAATAGATGTGTTAAATGGCTTTGAGTGCCTCGTGAGGGGGTGTTATGACAGTTTAAGCCGTTATTTAGTTATGCTTGATTTTATTCTCATAACTAGAAAATATTTGAATTGTTATTACATAAGAAACATAATTTTTAACATAAAATAGAATTTATATAGAACACCTTCAAATAAATTGCTGTAGGTTCATAACTCTCTAATTGAGAAATTGGAAAACGAATAGAACTGTAGCAAATCACACATTCCATATTCTGTACAAATTTATTCACGCTTCTATTCATAGAGATGACATTTGCACGAGAAAATTAGAAATTCACCTAAGCCGAGAATGGAAATCCAAGTATAATAATAATAAGTATTGCGCGCGAAACGTACTCGTGTTTATGCACAAATAATGTAATTTCAGTCAAAACAAATTTCGATCAATTTGATTTACAGCCGCTATTCGTCACGATGAGGCATCCAGCCAGCGATGCATTGAATCGCCCAGAAATACTTCACCCACTCACACTGCGAGGGTGCAGAACGCACGCCGGGAATTTCAATATGGTTAATTTCGACGATTGGATTGCGGCCCGTCGTGGCTGCGGAATTATCATGACAATAAAGTTTCGAGTGGACGAGTGTCATCTGCCGCTGCCGTCGCACTTGAAAACGACTCGGGTTGATGTAATTTGCGGCGGGCGAATGAAAGAAACTAGATAAAAGTGCAATTCATCGCGGTTATCGCTTTCATTGCATGTTTTTTCATTCACTTTCGTGCGTTTCGGGTAGTGTTTGGTTTGTTGTGGAAGAATGAAGGACCGGGTGACTGCAGCAATGACATAATGAAATGGATAACACGGTTCTAATTCGATACGCTCGCAATTTGTCAGAATTAAATGGAATTCACCAGCGTTGCGAATTGTACGAGGTAGCGTAATGTTATTAACCAAACCTTGGAATTGAATTTTATTTCGTTTTAAACAAATCGCTGCGAGTTATTTTGTTTTAAATTCGTGAAATCAATTCACACATTATAATATTTTACATTTTATTTTAACAAAAAAGTATTATATTTCCAATCGGAAATAGCACAAAATGGTATTTCTTGAATTATTAAATGAAATAATTCTATCACAGTAATTTTTCTAATCTATATTTTTATTATGTCACTGCAAGGGACAACTTGGTTCATAATATCTATTATTGTTTTTACAGGCCAGACAGCAAATACCCAAGGAACCATCCCAAAACAGTGAATTAGCCCGGGCACAAATTATTTTCTCTTTTTCGGGTTCTTCATTACAAAAAAAAAATGAAGTATTGGAGTAAATAAATATAAAAGAAATTAATAAACCTACCTTTGGTAAGTGCTGGTATAAATACAACAAGAATAAAAACAAGTAACGTACAACACAAGAACATGTTCTAGTATAACGTTTATTCCAAAGTCTCTAAAGTTAGGCTTAAATGTAGGTAAACCGTTCGACGCGAAAAGCGTGTTATTGATGTTTTGTTTTATCTTTTTATATATTTGGGGCGCTGTTCAATAGTTATTACATATAGATAGAAGTACTTACTAATAATTTTAAATATTGACGTCATAAACAATTTATTCAAATGAAAACATATTAATTATTAGCATAATAATCAAGATCAAACAGAAGAAAATAGATAGGTAAGTAGGTACATACGAGGAGCTGATGCAATATTTAACTTTTAATAATTTCTAAAAATCTCAAAAATGCACTAAATGTGAAATTGAATTGTTACAAATCGTCAAAAATATCCCATTTTGCTTATACTAAAAATATACTAAAATATTTATTAATACTTACTTAATATCTTACTTACTTAGATAGGTATGTATTTGGAATATTTTAGTCAAATTTAGTCAATTGTGAAAAAAATATAAAATGTGAAACATCTACGTGAATAATTTTCCATTCACTGGCTAATTCCCCAGTTACTTTTTTTATTTCCATTTGAACTAGGCAGTATTCACAAAACAAATATTTTTTCCAAATCAAAGTTTTTGATGCACATAAATACAATTTTAACAATTTGTGTCTTAATTTTAAATATTATTAATTTAATTAACTTGTTTTTGCCATATTTAATATCTTGTATTGTATTCATTTATAATATTCAAAGTGCCGCTTCAATTAGTTTGTTAACCACATTACAAAAGCTTCACATATTGTACCTCTTCAACTCCATCAACAGTCGGACTCAAAACTGAAAACTGAAAACTTCACTCCAATAATAGCATTAAAGGATGATGCCATTGTTGCCCCGATGCACCCGCCACAGAACGCCGACATCGAACAAAACACTAAACGTAACAAGAAGCGACATTGCAGACAATACGCCTCGCAGTTCACAATTAAATATTTTCATTTCGAATGCGTTGCGTTACGTTTTATTTCGCATCACCATAAAGTTGCCCCTCGCCAAGACTCCAAGCAGAACATGCCGACTTGGGGAAGGGTTATGCTACTATTTTTAGTCTGCAAACGCTTTTGAATTTGCCCGAGTGCGTTTAGATGAAAAAGTTGGATAACTTGCTTTGATACTATTTTCCGGTGCGAACAATATGTTCGTAATTGGGCACAACTCGCGTCTGATGTAACAATTGGTTATTATTGTGATTACCTATATGTACACCTACATATGAGGGGCTTGTATGACAAGGTCTGGCGTTGCACAAGCCAATTGTACTTTGATAAGAGATAATCTAGTTGGATCGGAAAAGTGGGATGTTTGTAAACTGACACATAACAAGCCAATTATAACGAGATTTTATATAAAATTTATTTTTCACCTGTACAATGAAAAATATTTTATAGAGTTTGTTACAACAATATGTTTTTAAAGAGGACTCAAATTTTACTGTTGTTAATCTTTTAAATTATGACCAAGAGACCAAGATTAAAACTGCTCGTCGTTTTTAAAATCCTTAAGCAAACACCACCCAATTAAGAGCAATAAATGCGACCCATCAGAAACCATTCAACCGTCTGGTATCGCATACAGTATCACACACTGTTTGCTCCTTGTTCATTCATCAATTCATTCATTGTACGCTCATTGTGCACGCAACTAAACCCACTACGAAAATAAGTATGAGGAGTAGCGAAACGATCGACAAATACGTTTGCTGCGCGTTAGTTTTTGGGGTAGTTTTGTTTGAGGAAGAGGCCAATGTTTGCCGAGCACTATATCATTCAGATCCACCAACCCCGCATCCCGAGGGTTGTCGGTTGCTCGGTGATCGAACAAAAAACCATACTTAGGCGACAAAAGATGAAAGAGAACCAACTTGGTGGGTACAATTAGGGTATAAAAGAAGGTGGAGTTTGGTAAGTGGAGGATACACCCCATAGGCATCCCTAAACTATCCCTACCATTTTAAAACCAGGGATATATAAAGGGTACCTACACTTTTTGCAAGTCAGTCATACCAGATACTTTAAACTGTTAACATAGAAATCATACAAGAGTGAAAATTGTGTTGTGTTAAACAATGAACATGTCGCGTTCGTTCTTCGTCGATTCATTGATCAACAATCCGCCTAAGGAATACATCATGCCATCACCTCTGGGTGATCCACGACCAATGTTGCCATATCCCCCGAGTTACATCAGTTCTTATTTGTTTTCCTTGAGTTTGGCTCAACAACAAGCTCAAGCGCATCAATTTGGAGGAATGTTGAAACAACCCATCCGACCAGTGCCTTCACTACCCAACTTACCAATGATGCCTTCACAATCAGCACCTCAACATACAAGAAACTTAAACTCGTTGAAACGCCCAGCTTCGTCACCTATGTTTGATGATAATCATCATATGACTATGATCAACACCAAGAATCCTAGACTAAGTTTTGATAGTCAAATTGGATTGCATAGTCCGTCTAGCAGTCCACAGAATAGTCCACGAGGTCATGCAATGCCATCACCTCCGCTGACTAGTAGGGAATCTACTCCAACACCACCATCACCTCCGCCTTCTAAAACATCATCAACGGCTGATGATAAAGATTCTTCTAAAAGAATCCGCACTGCGTTTACCTCTAAACAACTCCTGGAGTTGGAAAGAGAGTTTTCTGCGAATATGTACTTGTCTCGTCTCCGACGGATCGAAATCGCTACGTGTTTGCGACTTTCGGAAAAGCAAGTGAAGATTTGGTTCCAGAACCGTCGCGTCAAGTACAAGAAAGAGGATCTCCCGGCTGCAAATGGAAGCAGTGGTCAGTCACCGAATAAGTGCTGTTGTTTGAGGACGTGTTCCTCGTCCAGGAAGCCGAAAAATAGTACTTCGTCTTCTTGTGATGGAGACGAAGATCATATTGATGTCACCAATCTGGATGATCATGAACACAACGAAAATAATGTTTTTTAAAACATTAATAGCTACTTAGAAAAACAAAATATGTATATTTATGTAGGTATAAATATCTTTAAATTTGTAAATTTTGCGTGATGAAATTGAAAATATTGTATGTATATATTTTGATACCAAAGCTTAATAATTATTAAATAAATATTTGATTATAAAAATACATTATTATTTTTTATTACATTTTTTTGAATACAAGAAAAAATTGTGCTTTAACCGTTTTCGCAGATTTCCATAAAACTTTGCAAACGATTTTACTACCCGTTTTACTTGAATTCAATTTTTGGTCAAGGTTGTACTTTTTCCACTATGTGACTTTCCGAGTGATTTATCCTTGTGTGTTTTTCACATGTGAACGAGAAGAACGCACCCAATTTTCATCCCATTCCTTTTCTTCATCGTGTCGTGCCCGAAGGGCGCCACTTCATAAAATTCGAATAAAATAAAACTTTTCACGTTACTTCCCAAGTTACTTAACCAACTCAGGGGACGCGAGCGATGCGAGGGAAAAGTGCCAACACTCGCAACCAAAATGCGAATAAATATCCAGAGCTAGAGAAAAAATATCTAGAACGCGATAAGCGTTGATAAAATAAGTAAAATTGAATAAAACAATTTATATTCTTGTCTTTTTTGGCACCAAATTTTATATTGTAGGTATCAATTGGTTAATATCTAAGTATCTAGGTATCTATCTAAGTAGGTACAAACGTGGTAAAAAACATTTATATCCGGGAAAAAGAAGCAAAAATTTTGTGTTAGATTTTGCTACTTATTTTTCAAAAAAAAAATATTATAATTTATAGATCCTTTATTTTATTGAATTAATTTTGAGTACCTGAATATAATACAAATACTACATATTGAATAGTTCTTCATGTGGTTTTTCATGTCACATCCTGTCATCGTGTCAATCATCTTCAATTTTTGATGGGTGGTTAAGTGCTGCTACAATTTGAACAACTGTTTAGTGGTTATCGACTCATCTTAGATATTTTACCCCAATGCATATTGAATATTTACTCTGAACAAACCCAACAATCAATAAAAATAGCTCATTTGAACATGTGAGTGTTTTTAATTTACCTAACAGTTGCTTTACATAGCAATTAAATTATTCTAAAAATAACTTATATCGTAGAAAAACTTGTTTGATACTTTTTTGAGAAATCGTTTGGTAGTTTTATAGGCTGAATAAAGAATAAACGACGCCGAAATGTCTGCCACAAGCACTCTTCACACAGACACAAAGTCTAGCCAGATTCCACGATTCCCAAAAAGCATTTAAAAGCTATTTGTACGACTCGAACTTAATTGTGCTGGCAGAGAATGAATGAAGCTCCGAATCACCGAATGAATGCGAACGCATTTTCCGTGTTCGGTGCGAGCTTTGACATGCACGAACACAATGAGAATTTATTGTCATGCAATGCACTTGTATTCCACCTTCATTCACCCGAGGGTTGTAGGTGCTTGTAGGTGTAACCAAATGAGATCTAAAAGGTGTCATTCATTCATCTCGCCGCGTACAAAGCGGCACAGGTAGACGAGAAGATGCGTCGATTGTGGCGCGAAGTCGTAGTAATATATCCCCTACGCTTAAATCGTCCGAGCTTTTCGATTCGGTTTGGTTTCATTCATCTTCACGGATTTCTTAAATACTTTTTAGGCTTCTTTGTGCGCGCTTCTCATTCATATGTTCACATTCAACAATCACGACGTTGACTTGACCAGAGTCAACGTATTGAAATCGGTGTTTCATTCACGATTTGTACTTCATTCACACTTGCTGTAAAATTAAAGAAAAAAACGTGCAAACGAGCGATTTGTTAAAATGTTAAAAGGTCGAACAATGTTGTAGCGATGAATTCACTGCGTGAGTTTCGAACGAACCGAGCGGATAATAATGGGGCAAGTCAAGTATTTCCAATTATTAGTATTATTAGGAAGTACAACTGAGTATGGTTGGTACGAGTACTTTCTTTCCGTAAGTCTGGTACTCTACCGACTTCAAAGAATGCAAGAAACTGGAGTATTGTGTAGACAAGTGCAGGCAAGAAAATTTATGCTTTAAATTGTGATTTAAAGTGTGTTTGCTTCTGGAAATGTGAAATTTTTGATTTTTGTTTGGAATGAATGAATATAGATTTTCCCTAGCTTGTTAAAGGCATGTAATTAAACGAACTTTATTTTTCGATTTTAACTTGTCAATTCATTAAATGCACTTATAATTAATGTTTGCACTTAAAAATACAGAACTGAACTTAAAAATAAATATTTGCACTTTGAAAAATGAATTCCACTTGAATGAAATGCTTTCCACTATGAAATTAATACTTTGCACTTATAAAACTTGCAGTATTAAGTACGTGCCGTACTCTGAGCCGGCCCCTTCTATCACCCCCCCCACCGCCCCTCAAATAATACCAAACAAGGTAGCCTACCTAACCACCACCCCCGACCACCCCAACCCCCCCACAAATAATACCAAACAAGGTAGCCTACCTAACCACCACCCCCCAACCCCCGACCGCCCCAAAAATAATACCAAACAAGGTAGCTTACCTTACCACCACCCCCAACTCCCCGACCACCCCTCACCACTACCCCCGACCGCCCCACAAATAATACCAAACAAGGTAGCCTACCTAACCACCACCCCCAACCCCCGACCGCCCCACAAATAATACCTAACAAGGTACCCTACCTAACCACCACAAATTATAAAGTTTCAATTTAAAAGTTGATTCAAAGCAAATTTAAGCTTAAACCTGAAAATATAAGTGCATTGTATTAAAATATAAGTTATACAATCTATAGTGCATAATATGAATTTCTTAGTGCGAAGTATGAAAACTTAAGTGCGGCTGTTCAAGTGGATTGTATTTTAACTAAAGTGCATTTAATATATCCCCTTGTTAAATATAGAAATGCGTAGGTGAATAGTATGCAAATATATCAATAGTTTGGCTGGAGTAATCCTGATCGTAGAAATTTCCCACCAAACTTTGGAGTACTCATTTGTTGTTGTTGACTAGAATAAGTTCTTAATATAGGAGAAATGTAGGTAAGCTACTTATACAAGGCATTAGAAAGGTGAATTTATAATACCTAGGAATATTATTATCAAACACTAATTTAATTAGTAAAGTTATGGATTAGAGTCTATTAGCTATTTTCCTACATACCTACAGCCTACATTGCGATGGATAAAAATGTTAAAAATGTGCGCTTTTCTATATAATATACACTTTAATGACAAAAAAATTATAGTTTGCTTAATTTTTATAGAAAATTTTTGCATTAAAGAATTTTCAAGTGCGTCGGCGTTTCGCACACAGTAAAAACCTTTCTACTATTGAGATTACACAATAAAAACTGCACAATTATTCTACTAACAACACGAGACCAAAGATGAAAATAGATAATATCAAATGTACAGAAAGTAAAGAAAGCCATCTGAGCTGAATTGCATTTGACAAATGGCTTCTGAAGAGTTGAAGAGCAACCAACAGGGCAATTTTATTACTTAACTTTTGGTTCCCATGTTTGTCGGCAAACAGGTTAAAGAATGGCAAAGGGTTCCGACGAATACATCTCATGTCAAAGAAAAATACCGACAATTCACATATTTACTATTTTTCATTTTATAAAATAACATTTATACATACCAGTATAATACACAGTTTAATTATATATTATGTAATCTAACACGTTGCAATGCATACAACGTGTTATGATTATGTGTCGTTCATTACTGAGTCCTTAATAACACAACATGAAGTGTTCGCCTCGTGAAACATTATTGCTAGCTATGTTTACGTAGACCTTAATATGAAAGGTTGTAAGGGCCGAAATGGTGAAAGCAAGCATTGTGAGTTTGTTTACCAATTTGCGTTCAAGTCTGCGGAAGCATGTTTTCACACAAAAATTAAATGTTTAATGTTAATATGTGTTTTCTACCCTGTTGAAAATCGAACACATTTTGTGTTTGCCAAAATGTTAAATAATTTACAATTTTTTTTCGTAAAGTTAAAATATTTTCTGAGAGAAATTGCGATACCTACACGCAACTGACAAAATAGTTATCGATGAAAAGGGGAAACTTCATGCTGACCTAGTTTCCCGTCGTGTGCGCCAAAGGTCGTTGTCTTAATATATCTCATCTAATCGAATTATTATTGCACGACGCGACATGCCACGGAAAGTCGAGCACATGCAATAAATTAGATTGCGTGGTAGAATGAATCTAAAACTAATCTAAACATTAAATAAAAGGGAAAGGTTAATATAAAATTAACTAATAACATTATATTATACTTAACAAATTTTACGCATTTACGTAAAGTGCACATTTGGTTGCTTTTTTTATTAGATCTGCTTATTGGTCGTTTTTATATCCATCACATTACAGCTCTCATTTCTTGCTCATTTATGTGTCTCGAGAAGAAATTACTTCCTACTTCATGAGGCATATCGTGCGGTCGGCTGGGTTTACACACTTAAAAGCTTGCGGAAATCGATGGAGATTTCCCGAGAGAACGCGCGAGCCGACCAGCGCACAGTTTAATTGTCGGCAATTTCTGCGGTCTATTAGTGTAATTAGCTTGAACTTTAAACTTCTTGTTGAAATAAGAAAAAAAGTTTGAAACAACATATTTACATATTAATTACAAGGAAAGAATATACAAGATGTTACTTATTATAATTTTTAATTGGGTTTAGAATAATATCTTTTAGGTCCCCACTTTAAAATTATTAATTAGGATAAGTTAATTAAGTTTAATACCACATTACTAATTTAAAAAACGTAAGAAATTTTTCTAAAACGCTAAAAATTTTAATTTTTGTCGGTTTTCATTAAAAAAATGAATATAAATTCTTAGTAAAACACTTAATTGTTTCTCCAAAGGCTTCAATATCATCACTTCCTTTGCACTTTTATATTTATAACCTTTTTGTCTGGTTAAAATCAATTTCAAGTTGAGTTTGTTGCGCACTGA